CTTTCCCGGCAGCCCCCTCCCCCCCCGCAGCCCTCCTCCTCCCCCTCCGCCCGCTCGTCCCAAACCGGGTCTCGTAGTTTGAATTTAGTATAGGACCTGGGGATTTAAATTTTTGCCTCCGATTTAAACTATAAACATTCGGTTTTTTTAAGAAAACTTTTTTTCTTACCCTCGAATTTCTTTAGGTACCTTTCAGTTCAAGGGGGGATATATTTAGATTTTCGTTTGCGAAGAGCCACTCGCAGTGATCAGTGGGGCATTCATTTCTCTTGGGGGAATTGCCGTTTACACGGTCGCAGAGGCACCCAGAAACAGATTCAGGAAGTAGGTCATTCTTTCTACCCCCGGCCCCCAGTTTTTGTCTGTCTGACTTGCTAAATGAAATCAATGGTGAGTGTTTTCATCAAAACCAGGTCCCCTTTTTAAACCTTGGGCTACAGAAACATGGTTACATTATGGAAATACTTATTTGGAGGCCTTTCCATGTACCTGTTGAGGTGGGGGGACATAAAGGTGAACTGTCGTCTGGAGCGGCTCTTGGGGTGCTCCTTCTGCTCGCCTTAGGGAAACGGGCTTTATATTCATGCTGTTAGAGGAAGAGAGTTTGCTGTAGCAGGAGTGTTTGCTGCCAATATTCTTTTTAAAACATTTAATATTTCTGTTTTAAAACTAGATTTAGTCTTAGATTATTTACATTTCTTTGCTCTTCGTGGTTAAAGAATTGCATTTTAATTTCCCATGAATTGGAGAAAACATAGTACTTTGTGTTTTACTTAAATGTGACTGGATTTATTCCGCTTAGCTGAAAGAATTTCAGCCCTGGTGGGTCTTAAGTGTTTGGTTTTTTTCCCCTTCATATGTAAGGGGGGAGGGGTTGTAGGTAGCTGGCTTTACGTATATTTTATCAAATAGCCTTTAGCAGATCACCCTGTCAGTGAATATCCACTGGATAAGCAGCAGTGTGCTTGCTGCCTGTCATAGGTGCTGTGGGTTCTTCCCTAGTGGTACTGCTCACAGTGGTTTGAGCTTTAAGGTCTGTTGCCATATTTTAAAGGATATTATTGAAGGAAAGTAGCTTAATATGTGAAAATATGGTGAAATTTAAGTTTAAAACACCTCACCCAGAAATTATAACTGCCCAGCATACTGAAAACTTAATATGTAAGTGGAAGAAGTATATTAACATTTTATTTCTCATTTTAGAAATTAAAGATGTTTGCAGTAATATAAGAGGAAAAGAAATGCGTTTTGAATTACTAATAGTTTTCTAACATTTTCAAGTGTATTCTTTTCATTTTCTTGAAAATTGCATCATTTGGACACTGTAACTCTCATTCTGAAGGAACACTTGTGTGGTCCAATTTCAAGAAGAAAAACCCTGAATTTTGTTTTCAGGACATTTATTTAGTGACCTGGTATCTTTAAAAAAATCCTCTTTTATATTCTTCAATTACTTGTAGGTGATTTTCTTTACAGTGAATTTGGAAGAAGAGTGAAGTAAACCTCACTGTGTCCTACAAAAAATCTAAAACAGGTGTAGAGGTGGAAAAAAATCATACTTTTCTGATTTCAACATTTTAATAAGGATGACTTTAGAGACTGGTTATTTAAAAAATTTTGATGGAGAAATGCTAGTTTTTTACTTGATTTTGTGTGCGCTTTCTGGAGATTCGTTCTTTATGATACATGTGGTAAATAATTCAAATGCTGGCTATTATACCTTTGATTAAGTAGACCTAAGGATTGAAGCTAACTGGCGAAAGAATAGTAAGTGCAAAGCAATAATATGCATTTATTCGATAAATCTGAGGGGAAAACAGGTTATTGAAGAAGCATGTCTCCAGAGAAAATATAGGTATTATGCTTCTGTGGGGTTTTTTGTTATTTCCTACATAGAAGAATAACCCTGGCCTTGCCCCCCCCCCCCAAAGTATTTAATTCTTGAATACAAATTACTTTAGATTTAAATAAAATATACCAATTTTTCATACTTGGTCTGGTCATCTCAATCCATAATAGGAAGTAAATAATGATTCTTCAAATTGTGATAACACTAATAACATTTAATATGCTTCAAAGAAATGGCATATGCTCCTTTTTAAAAATACTTTCTGGTAATATTTCTCATTCTTTATTATCCCTTAAAGTTATTTATCCATCTTCTAAAAGAAGGCTAGTTGATCCTTTGGGTTTTATAAGGAACGTGGTGTAGGGACCTTTGGGAAGGAACAATTTGTCTTTTATTTCAGTGTTTGTAAACACATAAGGGACTTTTTCTCAAGGAAAAAAAAAAACCACAGTATAACACAAGTCCTGTCATTTCACCTAGTCCATATTGCTGTTATATAAATAAAGAAAAGAAAATTTAATGGGCTTGCTTTTCTGTGTTAGTCTTAAATATTCCGATATTTCAAAAAAATGGTACATAATCTGTTTATTCACTATCACATCTATTCATTTCTTTTAAAAACATACTCCTTAGCATTTTTAAAGTATATTTGGATTTTGTTTTCTAAGGAAATGTGATCATCTTGCTATTCTTGATAGTATTAATTTCTACTCTAGACAAAACTTGTTTCACTGTAATGAATTTAAGTCTTAAATTTCTATACTGGTAATGATTTTTTTTTCAGTATTTATACTTTAGAGCTAGTAAGGATTTATCAAACGTAATCAAGAACACCAATGCATGAGATTATTTAAAATTACTTAAAATTAAGCTACTTAAAAGCTTAATTCAGAAGACGTAATAGGTAAAGTGCTTCTTGAGGTAGGAAAGGTTGGTGGGGAATATATACTAGTAGAAGTGAATTCGTCTTAGAGAATTCTTGCGAGACTAATCAGTTTCCCAGATAATTTGGAAATAACACATTGCCATTGAAACTTCAGCATGTCTTTATGAAAAGTAACTAGCTACATAGAAACTCCTTGCTTTTGAAGCTCAGATTGAGTCCCTTGTACGTTTCAAAAGATTAGCAAATGGTTTCAAAATTCATTGCAGTGATTAAACTGTTCAAGTAACATTCTTGGCTTGGGACCCATTCTGTTCTTCTTATTATGTGGCTTAGAAGAATGACTTAAAATTATGCTTACTAGTATGTAGATGTGAACTAATAGCACCCCCAGAAAGCTTTTTGCAAATTGA